ACATACCATATGATCCAAATCAAGTACTTGGCGTGAGTGGCAGTTATATGGGCAATTCCCAATTGGTACAGAGACCTGGTCCGAATGTACAAGCCTCAGCTAATAGTTATTATAGCGCAACTTCAGCTGGTAAGTAATAAAGTATATATTATCTAGTAAATCCTAAACACAAATTGTCATTATTATATTTTCATTTACTACTGTTTAATATAATTATTATATTTATTTCAGATGTATTTCCCGGGTCACAAACAGGTTTTTATCAGCCAGGAGGTGCTACACAACAGACTGGTACTCATTACGGACTTCAGGGATTTGGACAGCACAGTCAAAGTTTGGCAACTGGCAGTGCTACTCCTGTTGGACTTCAAAATTTCAGCTCAGGCTTTTTATCTAGTTCGGGTTTACAAATTGCTGCAGCTGCAGCAGCTCAGCAATTTCGTAATCCGACAGGAGGACTTCCTGGACCAGCAAATGCAGGTCCCACTTTTCTTAGCAAACATCAACCACAAGAACAACCTAGACAATTAAAAAGTCCATCGGGAAATCAGCAGGATGTTCTTGCATCAGTTTTCAGCTCTAGTAAGTCAAATCATATTTCTATCATATATCTATCAATTTCTAGATAATATTTTATATGATATACAATATTTTATAGCATCACAAATACCATCTCCAAAATCAAGAAATTGTAAACAACAATCTTCATCTCAACAACCGCAACCTAGTCCAACACAACATCATAAATATCAACAGTATCAAGGTGTTAATCAATCAACTTTGGTAAGAAAATGTGCCTTTCATCAATAATATAATCATAAATAATAAATATTTTTGTATTCACAATACTAACATTATATGAAAAATAATTTTATTTCATAGTATATAATAAGTTACAAATACACAATAATTCATAAATATATATCTATACTTAAAGCGATGAATCTATAGTTTAAAATAAATAAAATTTATAATATGAACATATATATATCTTAATTATAAATGATTAAAAAATTGCGTGTACTATTGCTATTCAATATTTCACTCAAATTAAGATTTTTTGTTACGAGAATCAGAAAATATATTAAAATAATTTATTATATTAATTAATGTATTTTATATAATTTTTATGTAAATCGACATGAATCAAAATCTTAAAGAAAATATTTGAAATCCGTATTATGTTTCATTATTACATAATGTGTAGACCATATCATTGTATTAAATTCCGTATTTTAAAAATACTAGATATTTTTTTATCTCAAATTTTTTGTTCACAAATCGTACACGTTTATTTGCATTGAATACGAATAAATTTTAAATGGCTCAAAAAATATAAATCTAATGCGTTAAAATCAAAAAATTGTGGTGACATTTTTTTAAATCATTAACTTAAAAATTAAGTTATAATGCAACAATGCAGAAATTTATAATATCTTCTTAAAAACTATTATAAGTAACTATTTTATTAATAAATATATTTATATCGAAATACATATCTATTTATATGATTATATTATGCTCTATTAGAAACAATCAATTAGATTGACATTCTTCATAGACAGAACTTTTTTGAACTTTTCATCACATATGAATACATATGTTTATTTGACATTTTTTTATTTATTTTATTATATAAAATCAGTTTTTCAAATATAAGTATGCATATAAATCAAATATAAATCATCCTATAATAATAAATTAAAAGAAAAAAAACATCATAAAAAATAGAAATTTAAAAATATAATATTGATAATAATTTGAAAATAGTAAAATTGATAATAATAGATAATTAATTACACAGAAAATAATTAACAAAAAGATAATATACATATAATATTTATTTTAAAAAAAGAAAAAATTTAGAAAAGAAAAGACTAATTGACAAAATTATTATAGATTTTACAACAAAATATACGTGGTATGGGTATGCCTCCTCGCGCTGGAATTCAACCGTCGCAACAAAGATATCCACCACCTATTCAAAGACCAGTTGTTCCATTTACCCCGGGTCCAAATCCGAATAATCCTACACAACAGCAACAACCTAATTGTATGCAACAACAACAACAACAATCTCAAATCAATCGTCATAGGTCGAATTTGCATCAACAACAGCAACAACGAAATATGAAGATGCAACAACAATATTATTCTGGTCAAGGTTTGTGTTTATCAAATTGTTATATAAACAATTATCAAAGTAATAATCAAATTAAAATAAATTAATTGCAAATTTTTATATTATTTTATTTTTGCTTTTTAGGAAATGTCAAAATGGATACAAATGAAAAAACAGATTCGCACAATGATAAAATCAACGATGGTAACTCCGGTGCTCAACAAGGAAGCGCTAAACCAAACGTAAATTCACAAGAAAATGACAATAAGGAAGAAGTAAACCAACAAAATGAATGAATTGTGAAAAACAATATTTGATCTACTATTTGAAAAATACAATTTACAATCGTACATTATGGTGTGACGTCGATTGAAAGGTAAATGATAATGAATAACTATTCGCGTGGAGCAAATTGAATTCCAACTGATGTTATATTTGTCGATTTAAAGCGGCTTGCGAGCTTAGAATTCGTAATTAATAACTTGGTTATATCTAGTTAAAATAATTTAATCGTGATGTATTGAGAAGGGAAAAAATAGGTAATATTATACAAGGCTCCGAATTAATTATCATAAATGTATTACATTTTATGAATTCTTAACAAACAAATCGCTTTTATCGAACATTTGTTTTTGTTCGAAAAAAATACTATAAATAACAAAACGGCAAATGTCAGGATAAATATCCAGAATTAAACAAAATTTGATCGATATCATCGAGGATAGTTATCATCTAAAAAAGTCCCAATGGATTACTATTTTCATCAGGGACACAAACACGTTGTTCAGTTAAAATAAATAAATAAATAAATTAAAAAAGTTAAATATTAGACTGACGCGCACAACGTATATTCACTCGATGTTAATCGATCATGCGAACCAATTAATTACATTATCAATTGTGAAAATGAGATACGTGCATAAGACTTTCTGTATGGACATGACGGCGGTCTGTGGTATACGATAATATTAAAACCAGATTTTTATGAAATATAGTTCAACAAAGATATTGCACGACCGTTGCTACTATTTGTAGAGCATTATTAAAATGAAAAAAAAAAAAAATCAGATCGATAAAGAAGACTGTTGTGTATATCAAAATTATAAAAAAAAAGGATATTCATGCGATGGTCGTATAGATCTGCATGATTCTGCCCATAATATAATGTGACATTTAAAAAAGTTCGTGTACATTAATCGTTTATTGATATATTGTGCGGTCATGGTGAAGCTTGTGAAAAATAAATAGTGCAACAATCGTTTGTAGTACTGAATATATTGTCATGACCTAACCACTCTCAAAAAAGAGTATCAATTATTAGAAGAAATGAAGAAATTACAAGAAGTATCGCTTGCAGAAGTTTGAAATGCGCTCAATTTTTGCGTATAGTAAAATTCCACTAGATCACTATACTGTCTATCGCAACGTACATATGTAGAAAAAGAATTGTATATTCTCTGCTTTCGTTGCGGTTCAAGCACTATTATGATAACTATTATTATTTTATTTTAATTTTATTTTATTTGTAATACTATTGTCATCATTATCATCATCATTATTTCTATTGTATTACTATACTGCAACATATATAATATATGATCATCACCATCGCCGTCGTTGTTACTATTACCGCTACTATTGTTATTATTTATTACTATATATTATTTATTACTACTAATCCATCATTATTATAGCAAAAAAGTTATTTTCAAAATTATTTTCAAAATTATTGCTTTTACTACTACTACTACTACTACTACTACTACTACTACTACTACTACTACTACTACTACTACT